AATATCCATATTGCTTTGGTCTAATCCTACATAGAAATTTAATAGCAAAAGGAATTCTTTGGTATCATTTTTTTTCCAAAAAAAAAATTTAGAAATACAAACAAAAAAATTTGTTTCTTTTATATTTCATTTTCAAAAAGATAAAAAATCAACAATCATTTGTTTCAAATCTTTGGAATAGAACTCTTTGCAATATAAGTCAAATGACATCATTGTTTTCATTTTCTTTCATTTTACAAAATCAACATAAGTTTCAAAAATAACATGGATTTGCAAATTGACCTTTAGTTGTTTCTTTTTTGTTTTGTTATATACGGATGTTAAAGGATTAAATGGAAGGGAACAAATCGGACAACTTTTTTTTTTTGAACAAATCAAGCGAGCCTTATTTTTTTTTTCTCGCTTCTCACTTTTTTTGTTTACGTTATGATGAATACATTAATTTTTTAGTAGTAATTTGACTTTGAAAATCTTTATTTTATTCCATAAAAGTTTTCACGCAACCCTTACGCTTTGAATTAAGACTAACTCTGTTTACATATAGAAGTAAATAACTCATATTTATTAGTTTTAATTTTAAATAGTTATTTGAATTCAAAAATCTAAGCTTGATTCCATAAAAAAATATTTGTACAATCCCTACACTTCGAATTATAATTAACTCTATTTACATATAACAATAAATAACTCATAGGTATTAGTTTTATTACAACAACAATGGTTACTTTCACCAACTTAACACATCTTGAATGACTTTAAAACGAGTTTTAAATGTCTTAGAGCAAATGACAATGCAACTTTTCCTAAAGATTCTCTTCATATGGAACTACATTTCCATATGTTATACACATTAAAATGTTCTTCGTTATTTTTCTCAATAAATAAATGCTATTTTTCCTTAAAATAGTTCTATTTGTTTTGTCCAACCCATAAGCATAGCATAGGTCAAAAGATAGTTAATTAAAAAAAAAATAAAAGATCCGAACTCTTCCCTATTCATTTATTACTCATCTACACTCAAATTTATCGTAGACTAAGAGACAAATGCACTATGCATTCTCTTTTGTTACATCCTCACCGTTGGATCTTGTAATAATTTGCAAGTTGTTAGTACACTAATCAATGCTAGCCTATAAATTTGGGCAACTACGGCTACTCGCAACATTGCTTAAATCCTTCCCTCTTCCACCCTTATATAAACACCCCTTCCTTGTTTCTCCTTTCCAGTTCGCCTCACAAATCACAAATCTCTCATATTTCATTTTCTCTCACATTCTCTCATTTCTTTTTTTTTTTTTTTTGAAAATCCTATAAATAAACAAATTGTACTCTCAAAAACAACTTATCACCGCCTTTTGGGTCCGGCCTTCGCTATCCTCTTCGTTCACGCCGCCACTTCGACGTTTGTTTTAGCTCTCGCACCAACCATAGTTATTGTCGAGATCTCTCCTTCCTTGGGCTTCATTTGAGTTACGGTCGTAATGGCTCTTTTTTGGATATGGACTCAAGATTTGAAGGAGTGGCATGAAGCTGAGAGTCTAGGTGTGGTTTTGAGATTTATTTAGAGTTTTATTAAGTAACAAGGTATTTTTATCACCGATAGATCTAGGGTTTTTTTAGTGAGAGTGTTATATATGAATATTTTAGAGATTCAATGAGTAATGTTTTTGTCGTATGGTTAGCGGTGAACAACTCGATTATAGATTTCGGTATTATTATGAATAAATTTATTAGTTTATTTTAGCTCTAATCCTCCCTTTGATTCATGTTTGTCATTTTGTTGAATCCATTATTGTCCGATTTTATGTTTCATTTGATTGAAATTTGTGTGGTTTTGATATCAAATAATATATATTTTTTTTAACAATAGAAAATGTGGCTATATAAAGATAACATTTATAAGTTAAGTTATTTGTAGTCAAATTCTATCAAGAAATTGCTTTAAGAATTCTTTAATTTTATACTTGTTTAAGAAAAATGTTAGTTGTTTCATAATTGTGTATATTCAAGAAAGTAAGCACGTGAATTGGATGAGATATTATATAAGAGTCTGTTTGGTTTCTCATAATCAATTGTGATTCCATTAAACACAATATAATTTCATGAACTTGATGACAAAATAGTTATTAATTCTATGATTTTATGTACGTAATTGAGAAAACAAGTGTGTGAATTTCACATAATACGTAATATTACACGTAAATAAATTTTTTACTTAAATCGTTATAATTTAATGAATACGTGATTTTTTAAGTTAGTTAAAATCGGATGACATCAAGATATTGAGTTCATGAACACTCATATTGACATACTTGTTAAAAAAAAAAAAGCATCAATTAGTCTACATTTAACTAAAACAAAGAAGCGGGGTTTCGCTATACTTGCAAATTGATATAATAACACAATTTAATCACAAGAAAATTTTTAAGGCTTCATCCTAGTTATATGTGCACTATATTTATTATTTTTAGCACCTCATTGCGATTATTGAAATGATTTTTTAGTTTTTTTTAATATTTAAGAAAGCCGACATATACTCAAGAGGGTTGATTTAAACGAAAAAAACTATAATGGTTTAAATAAGTAATCTCGATTTAGAATCCTTATGTACGTAAAAAATTTCTTAAATAACCATGTTCATTTTATATATTTGATCGAATATCGAAGAACTAGTTTAACACTACGATATGTTGAGAATTAAGAAAGAAAGAAAAAGAAAAAAAAGCCAACTCGTAAAATTAAAACAAGGGTATCAATAACAATTAATTTATGGTAACCAACAGTGTCACAAAATAGAATACAAGCTCGTGAATTTGATGGAGAGAGTTATTTAACTTTCCAACTGCTTATAATCAAATGGTAAAGACACCAATTAGGAAAGTAAGCGAGTGGATTTTAGAGTCATGTTGTGATCTCAAGACATCAACAACAACAATAATAAAAGATATGCAAGTTTCCAGCATAAATATCAATGACAAAGAATCTCAATCCACACAAGATTTACTAATATTCCGGTCCATAAAAGGAAACAACATCCCTTACGTAGACGTGGTAAAATAATTCAAACTCAACATTTTATTTAAATTATTGTAGGATTAACATGTTTCAGTGTACAAAAAAAAACAATGGATATTTTGTCTCTATTTAAACTTCTCTCTGCATTTTCTTTCTATAAAACGTAACACAACGAGAGAGAAGAGGGGCTTGGTGGAGTAACATGTAGAAGAAAGACAGAAGATCAAATGAGGAGGAAAAAAGAAAAGAAAAGAAAGGAAAGAAAAATTTTGGGAACCTGAACCCTGGAGGTAACACGTGGCAAGACGTAAGTGGGTAGGTGCAATTTGACGGGCTTTTGCTAGCTTTCACTATCTCTCTCTCTCTCTCTCTCTCATGCGCTGCCATGTCAGAGTGTAACCCCGTCCTATGACCCCGGCGAAACCGTATCATTCTCTCTCTCTATAAAAGACACAAAATTTCTCTCTCTAAAGCTATTGATTGTGTATATATATATATATAAGAGAGGTGGTGGGGGCTTTTTATTATTTTAATGTTGTTGTTATTGTTGTTGTAGCATTGTGTTTTTGTGTGCTGTGTCTGGGCCTTTCCCTCCCCTCTCTCTCTCTCTCTCATATCCTCCTCTCCATAACTCCCAAGCCCTAATACCTCTCGCTGTCTATAGTGTGTCTTGCTTAACCTGTCAATTTCTGAGGATATTGACGGTAAAGATTGGTTTTTGATCCACCAGAAAGATTGGTGAGCTTGTTTTCTTGTCTGGGCACTTCTTATTTCTTTGTTTGAAGCTGGTTATTGGGTTAATTCTATGTGGGATTTTGATATTATGTAGTTTGAGCTAATTTCCTAGCTGTTTTGATGCTTATATTGCTTGATTTTGGAGTTCTTGTGCTTGTTTTATTGATTGGTGCTGAATTGGTAGGTGATATGGAGTTCTTTGGTACAGGGGATTTCAAAAGAATGTCGTTTCATCAAATAGTTAATGAAATGGGGTTCTGGGTTTTGAGTGAGTGAATGCATGTGCTTGGTTAAGTTCATTGTGTTTGGATTCTTCGATTTGACACTCTTTTCGGTCTTTTGTTTGACATTTCACGGTTTGATTGCATAAGTTCGAATAATTAGTTGATTTCACTACAGAGCCTGTGGTGGCTTGATTCAGCTGCGTTGTTCTAATTCAGAGTTGGCCTTTTGTTTTCTTAGCTTGTATGTGTTTGTTGGTGTCAATTCCAATTGGGTATTTAAAAATGTAGCAAATGCCTGCCAATCTTCTGCTATCAGGTGAATATATAGTTGGTTGGGGATTAGTCAAGTTAATGGTTTTGGTTGGTTGCGCTTTGAGTCTGGAGGTGGCTTGTTGTTTCAATAATTACCGTTGGATCATTTCGGCATTTGGAGTCTTGTACTTCACCGACGGTAAACCACAAGGTTGAGCTTCAGTGTGAAATGCTGATTTCAATTGCATGACTTGGTTCTGCTAGTTAGTGAGAACCAAGAAGATGCACCCGTTGCTATTATTACTTTGTATAGGACTTAAATTTTTGATGATCTGGTATTGTATCCTTTACTGTCTGTGCAGAATGTTAGCATTCTCTGAGGGGAAATAATAGCCTAAGTTCTTTGACGTAACAGACATACAGCCGCTTTCATTGGAGATGTCACGTAATTTTAACCTTTTTTCTTCTTCTGTGGGGATTTGACAGGGTCCGATTAACTATATTGAACACTGATTATGCCTTGCTCTTTTATCTGTGGATGTTGTCATAGCCTCTAGGCAATATGAAAATTAGTCACCATTGTGGTTCATTCTAATTTGTGGTTATTCAATGCTGTTATTTTCTTATTGGATTTCCTATATAAATGTTTAACAGGGTGCTGATGGTTTGTAGTGGCTTATAGTGCTCTCTTGGAGCTTTGATGCAACTTCGTCACTGATGCATGGCATGCTTTGTGGGGGCACTTGTGGTAAATGTAAAACACGGGATTAAAAGATGAAGGATAACAGTTCAACAAGTAGTAAAATGATTAGCAGAAACTGGGTCTTGAAGCGAAAACGAAAAAAAATTCTGCATGGACGAGTTGTTTCTACTGGTAAAGAAGATAACTTGGAATCTCCAAGAAATACTTCTGCTGCTAAACGAAGGCCAAAGTGTGAACTAAGTTCTGATCTATCTTCATCCAAGAAGAAAGGAAATGATGGGGTGAGTTATCCTTTTGTTCTGTTTAGCATTCTGTTGGATAGATGTTTCTTCAGCTTAGAGGTATATCATAAAATCCTTGATGGTAGTTTTTGAATGCATTTTTGCTCTGATTTTTAGTTGAACAGGCAGTTTACATATCATCTTTTTGAACAATAGAACCCTTTTCTGAGCAATAAATTATGGAGCACATTTTGATTACATTATCTTTGTCTCATGTTTTGGGATTCTTCTTCTATGCCCGGTTGCATGGCTGTTTATATTCAACATCTGGATCCAATTTGTCTTACAAAATCAGTCACGTAGGCTTGAAAGTCCTGTGTGTCTGGAACCAGATTCCTTTTATGAATTGGGCTTTCTTCCATTCAAACTCAGATGGATCTTCAATTGGGCATTTTGTTTAGTTAGTTCTTCCTTTTCTTTGAGAAATTGCAAATATTATTTTATCATGGCTTTAAATTACATATGTATTACTTATAAATTAGCACAAGGAACTAAACATATATCTAAAAGGAAAAAAGACATCTTGAACACCCTTATCAGGGTTAAATTTGACTGTAGAGTATGTGTTGTAGAAAGCAGCGATCCTCTTAAAATGCTCAGTTCAAATCACAAGAGGAAGACCTCCTTGATGCAAAAAATATTTACATGACACGCCACCAACTCTTTCCATTAAATTTGAGTTTTTAAGTTTTTAACTGGAAGAAGTTTCAGGTTAAAATTTTTCGTCTCATCGATTCAAATAAAATTAAGAAAAATTTTAGTAAGTATTTAGAAGAAATAGCCTTTTCTAGCATAGTCTTTTCTCTCAATTGAACATAGTTGCCGTCTTTGAGCAGAATACTGATCTAAGGATCCTCTTTTCAGTGGTCTCTAGCCTTCCTTGAAATTATATATTTTACCAAGCTGGGGGCATTCCAAACTTAAACATGATGCATGCTTCCCCTTCTGGTTGTTTTAGTGAGTAACTTTGACTATGATAAGGGCACAAGAACAATGTGGGAAGTTTTTTTGATCTCTTTATATGGCAGAGGCGTAGCTGGTGTCCACAATCTCACCTCTTTCTCTCTTTGTTTATATTTTCAATGATACCATTAGGATTCAAGATCTCAAGTTGAAATCACATATGGAAAAAGTTTGTTGATATGTTGTTCCTATACCTTATTCCAGTGGTTAATCCTTGTAGTTTCAGCAAGCTAGTTATCTTTACTACTATATGGAGTCAAGTGTCTTGGCTATGTGTTAACATTTGCTAACTCCTTTTTATCTTTTAATCTACTTTGCCTTCCAGTATTACTACGAATGTGTAGTCTGTGATCTTGGTGGCAACTTGTTGTGCTGTGATAGCTGCCCCCGAGTGTACCATCTACAGTGCCTTGATCCACCTCTTAAGGTATATTCAATTTTATTGAAGCTGCATGCTGACGATTTTCTTTTGTTCTTTTTTTTTTTTTTCTGCCATATTTGTTGATATCAATGATTGCTTCCTCCTTATTTTTAATTTTTTTGTTATTCATGTTCTGAAGCGCATTCCAATGGGGAAATGGCAATGCCCAAACTGCTCTAAAAAAAGTGACCCTCTGAAGTCCATTAGCTCACTGGGTTCCATTTCAAAACGTGCAAGAACAAAAATTATCACTACAAATTCTAGGACTGGATTTAAGTCATCTGGCACTGACAAAGTATCTGCGCTTTTCGGAAGCTCCATTGTCTCCAAGCAAAGGTCCTCCAGCAAAGGGAAATCTGTTCTAACTGTTGGATCCAAATCTATGGAAAAGGAACCAGATTCCTCAGATGTATTTTGTAGCACCAAGTCATGTGATCCATCAGCTGTTAATTCTGTAGATGGTACTTCATCGCATGTGAACAATGATGATGAAAAGAAACCTGATGCATCTCCAAAGGAGTCACCTGCAAGGAAGAAATCAATTTCCCTTGCCGATGAACTTTTGTCTCATTCTAAACTTACTAAATCTGAGCCAGATAATGAAGGTTCTGGTGAGAAGCATGTCTTGTCTTGTGATATTGGATCTCCAAGAAAGAAAATTGTTCTTGCAATTGGTGCAAACTCCGAGAACAGGAAAAGAAAGCTTGAAGGTAATAGTGTGGACAGTGTTAAGAAGCCCAGGACCAACAAGGGAAAACGAACTTCCAAAAAACATAGATCCAAAGCAAACAATGCAGGTTCTGGAACTAGTAAATCAAACCAGAAACGGAAAAATGTTAATCATGAAGTTTCTGTATTTTTGTCAACAGAAGATGTTGAAGTCAAGAACTTAGATTTGCAGAAAAAGAATGAGGTATCTTTTTCCTATTATTATTCTTCATTTTCCCTTTATAAGTTATGTGGATATTTTATCTTCCGAGGAGATACTTTGGATGTTTCTCCTCAAACAATACTATGGTAGATAATAACAATAATGTTTGTTAAATATGACATACACTCTAGAACCTTAGGCCTTTATGTGCTTGCCACATCTTATTGTTTATGGCCACTTTAAATTCTCAGTCTGCTTTAGTTGTTAGCATGCAACAACATACCACTTCCATCTGTCAAGTTTTGCATTATTTTTGAGTTGATGTTATGTGCAAGCTGGCACTGTAGTTTGTTGTTTGGTGTTCCTACTGGCACCATCTACTGTGGGCAGATTATTTCTCTCCACTGCCATGTGCACATAGAAAACTTAGCCTCCACCTATCTTGGACGTTTAGGTTTCACACTAGCAAAAATGATGAACCATGCAGTCAGCCATGCAGTCAGCCCAAACATGTACCCCCTATGTACTTAAGTTCAATACATAACGTCATTGTCATCTTCTTCATGTCATTACAGTTTCTCTCTTCATTCTCAGTACTATTTCTCTTGTCATTCTCAGTACTTTTTCTCTCGTCACTGTCACTTATTACTCTTCCTTTGCGCATCTTTGGTGTGACGATTATTATGAGTAAATGTATTTATTTCAGCAGAAGAATCCTGTGGAAGTTGCACAACCATTAGAAGAGCTGTATAAAGCAGAGGTTCATGTGGATGAAACCCAGAAATGTGAAGATATTGTCATGACCGAACTTCAGCAGGTGAATCAGCTATATTCGGAAAATTTGTAGGCTTTCTTCTATTAATCTCTTAGATGATGCTTTCTGCTTGAAATATTTGAATTTAATCAATATGATTTATATCCACATTACAGGTTGATCGGGTACTGGGGTGTCGGATTCAAGGTGATAATGCAAGCTCTTCGTGTGGTACATCTCTGATTGCCAAAAATGACCAGCCTTCTGATGAATTGCTTATTCCAGAGACTGAAAATGGACACTTAGAAGAAACAGCTGTTTGTGATACGAGTTCAGATCTGCGGGTTGCTGAAAATCTTGTTGAGGGTTGTCTTGGTATTGTTGAAAATTCTGAGAAGGATGAAAGATTGAAGAATGACATCAGAGTGGACACAATACGTGTATACAAAAGATCTGCTAGCAAAGACTGTAAAGGAGGGAACAACAAGGATTTACTGGGGAAGGATGGAAAGGATTCAGGTTCTGGAGGCATAAGTGGCAAGCATCAAGATGAATCTGCTGTAACGACAGAATTAATAGTGAAAAGACATGAAAATCCAGCAATTGAAGAAACCACCGATTTTTGCTTGAAAAATTCCAATCCAAATCAAATTTCTGAAGTTTGTGAAATGCATGTCTCTTCTGAAACCAAAGACACAAAAGCAGAAGAAGATATGCAAATCAAAACTTTTGGTACTGAAAATAAAGTCCCGGAGCCTGCCACGGATGGACCGACATGTGCTAACAAAGAGACCACATCTTATGAATTCCTGGTTAAGTGGGTAGGGAGGTCTCATATTCATAACAATTGGATTTCAGAATCCCAGCTGAAAGTTCTTGCGAAGAGAAAACTAGAAAATTACAAGGCTAAGTATGGGACAGCTGTGATAAATATCTGTGAGGAAAAGTGGAAGCAGCCCCAGCGGGTAATTGGTCTCCGTGTTTCTGAGGATGGCAGCCGTGAAGCTTTTGTAAAATGGACTGGTCTTCCTTATGACGAATGCACCTGGGAAAGTCTGTATGATCCTGTTCTTAAAAAATCAGTTCATCTGATCAATCAGTTCGAACAGTTTGAACACCTGACGTTGGAAAAAGATTCTGCGAGGGATGATCCACGAAAAGGGAGGCATGATGGTCCACCAAATGAAATTGCTACTCTGATGGAGCAACCAGAGGAACTAAAAGGAGGTTCTTTGTTTCCTCACCAGCTTGAGGCATTGAATTGGTTGCGGAAGTGTTGGCATAAATCCAAAAATGTAATACTTGCGGATGAGATGGGGCTGGGAAAAACAGTATCTGCTGGTGCTTTCATTTCATCTTTGTATTTTGAGTTCAAAGCTTCTCTCCCCTGCTTGGTCTTGGTTCCACTTTCGACAATGCCTAACTGGCTCTCTGAGTTTGCACTGTGGGCTCCCAACTTAAATGTTGTGGAATACCATGGGTGTGCAAAAGCAAGGGCCATGATACGCCAGTATGAATGGCATGCCAGTGATCCCAGTGAGATGAATAAGAAAACCACTTCCTACAAATTTAATGTTCTTTTAACTACTTATGAAATGGTTCTTGCGGATTCCACTTATTTGCGTGGAGTTCCTTGGGAAGTTCTCGTGGTTGATGAGGGCCATAGACTTAAGAATTCAGGGAGTAAGCTGTTCAGCTTGCTCAATTCGTTCTCTTTCCAACACCGTGTTCTTTTGACTGGTACTCCTCTTCAGAATAACATTGGCGAGATGTATAATTTGCTCAATTTCTTACAGCCAGCTTCATTTCCCTCTCTATCTTCTTTTGAGGAGAAATTTAATGATCTCACAACAGCGGAAAAAGTGGAGGAATTGAAGAAACTTGTTGCACCACATATGCTTCGAAGGCTTAAAAAGGATGCTATGCAAAATATCCCACCCAAGACAGAACGAATGGTTCCTGTTGAGTTGTCTTCTATCCAAGCTGAATATTACCGAGCAATGCTAACAAAGAATTATCAGGTGTTACGGAATATTGGGAAAGGAGTTGCACAGCAATCGATGCTAAACATTGTGATGCAGCTGAGAAAAATTTGCAATCATCCGTATCTCATACCAGGTACCGAGCCTGATTCTGGGTCTGTAGAATTTCTTCATGAAATGCGAATAAAAGCTTCGGCAAAGCTGACTCTGTTGCATTCCATGCTCAAGATCTTATATAAGGAAGGTCATAGAGTTCTAATTTTTTCACAAATGACCAAGCTTCTTGATATCCTTGAGGATTATTTGACCATAGAGTTCGGCCCTAAAACATATGAGAGAGTGGATGGTTCTGTATCAGTCTCGGATCGCCAGACAGCAATTGCACGTTTTAACCAAGATAAAAGTCGATTTGTCTTCCTGTTATCAACACGTTCTTGTGGCCTTGGAATCAATTTAGCAACCGCTGACACTGTCATTATTTATGATTCTGATTTCAACCCCCATGCTGATATCCAAGCTATGAATCGAGCACATCGAATTGGGCAATCCAATAGGCTTTTGGTGTACAGGCTTGTTGTTCGTGCCAGTGTTGAAGAGCGCATCTTGCAACTTGCTAGAAAGAAACTAATGCTAGATCAGCTCTTTGTGAATAAGTCTGGGTCTCAGAAGGAAGTGGAAGATATTCTACGATGGGGAACAGAAGAGCTTTTTAGTGATTCTTCTAGCATGAACGGAAAAGATAATAGTGAGAATAATATCAACAAAGATAAAGATGATGCAACAGCAGATCTGGAGCAAAAGCAGAGGAAAAGGATTGGTGGCCTTGGAGATGTGTACCAGGATAAATGTACAGATGGTGGCAACAAGATTGTGTGGGATGAAAATGCAATATCAAAGTTACTTGACCGCTCAAATCTCCAGTCTGCGACAACTGATGCTGCTGAAGGCGATTTTGAGAATGATATGCTTGGCTCGGTAAAGGTGAGCATGAAATTTGGTTGTCACTTTAATCTGTTCATTTGTTGCCATGCTAAAAGTACTCATATTTAGCTCTTTCAGATGACATGCTTATTTTTGGCTATTTATTGAAATAAGTACTTTTGCTTCCTCAGAATCTTTGGTAGAAATATCATTTTTTGGCGGCTTGGTGCATTTGTTAAAACCCCAGTTTATTTTAATTTTAATTTGTCCAGTTAGATGCTCTGGGCTATGTTCTGATGTTACAAATGGTTGAAAATGGATTTTAGTTTATAGTTGGCTCTCTCTCACCTCCACAATTGCCAGTGATCATCACTGTAATGGGATCAATGAAGTCAACCTATTTGAAATTTAACAGGCTGGCTTAATCCCTGTTGCCTGCACATCAAACTGGATAACCACTCTTCATGATTTAACAGTGTATTTTTTCACCCAATCTTAGGATTTAGTAGTAGGACTCTACCCATTGTTGGCATTCAATTAAGAGTAGTTTCTGTTTAAGAGAGTTCATTTAATTGGTGGCTCTTGTACAAGGACTTTGTCTAAACGTTAGGGTTGTCCTTGTAGAAACCAACGATCTTATTTTTCAGGCCTTGCTGTTGCTGTTTTCTGTTGCAACTGTTTGTTGCATTTCTGACTCATGTATGATGAAATCATATGACCAAGTTATGTGAGGGAGAATGGCCCGTAGGAGTTAGTATTTAGTTCTTTTCTTAGTTTTGCTTGGTTTTATTTGAACTTTCCTTGTACTTGTTTTGTTAGCCTCCTAAAAATTTCTACTTTAAAATAGCTATTTGATGAGACTTTCTTTTGGTTTCAAAATGTTTCTAAATATATTCTTTGGATTGTCTTATTCTTGCCTTTTTGGTTGGAATATAGACTCTCCAGATTATTTTATTTATCTCATTTTTCTAGAATGTTGCATTTGTAATGATTAATTCTACAGAGGAATAACCCAAACAAAATCATGTTTACTGTTGGTTTCGATTAAATAATGTTTCTGCATTTTTCTAAGCAGTCTTTGGAATGGAATGATGAAACAACAGAAGAGCAAGGAGGGGCTGAATCACCAGTTGTGGTTGATGTTGCCTGTGGACAAAATCCTGAAAGGAAAGAGGACAATGTGGTAAATGTTACTGAAGAAAGTGAATGGGACAGGCTGTTGCGTGTAAGGTAAGGAGCTTTACCTGTGGTCGCATTTCTTCTGAATTTTATCAATAATATGCAAAAAAAATGAGTAGGCTTGGTTGGCAAACATACAGTTTCACCATGACAAAACTATGTACTCTGGATTTGGAAAATAAAATAAAATAAAAAAGTAAAAAGAGACCATGTGATAATCATAAACGTGCAATTCCCTTGATTTTATCATTAACTTATCACTTAACTGCCTATCCATGCATGCCATGCTATGAACGATTTTCAGGAACAAGTCAGTCTGTTGTTTGATTTCTTTGATCCAAAAACTTGTTAAAGCTGTTGAATTGAGGTGCATTGATTGAGTTTATTTTAATAATACAGTCTATCAAATCAATTCCTTTGGTCAATTGGTAGATGGTGGGAAATTCAAATGCTTTTTGGCATCATTTGGTTAGTTTCCATATTGATCAGGGCTTTGAACTGATTATTTCCTCTTTCTTGATCTTGACTTGTTGCTCATTTATAGTTTCAAAGTGAGAGTTCTGTCGAATCTAATATATTTATTGGTAAACATACCAGCCGTTAATGTTGGTGCTTTTATCCTGAGCTGATAGTGGCTTTGTTATTACATAGCATCTTCAGTTTAAGAATTGCAGCAATTTCACAATTTTGTTTCAGGCGATTTTGCGATACCTTAAGTAGTTTTGTGTTCTGAGAATTACTATTGGTACAGTGAATAGATTTGATCATGTTTGACCTTTTGATATTGCTTTCTTTTGTAGAAGTCCACAGTTAAATTATGGGCACCCATCGAATTTTGAAGTCCTTTACATTGAAAAATTCCTAATACTTTGTTAAAGTCTAGTAATTTGGCCATTTATCTCTCTATTTATCAGTTATTTTATGGTTTCGATTTTTGTTTTAGAAGTTAAAAAGAGTCAAGTTACCTTGGTGGGCCAAGTTCCAATGTGTAATTATAGAATTTACTTCTTTCTTCTCTAACAGTTTATAAGTGATACCATTTTGGTTTTTTTTTTTATTTAAATTTAAATTAATTCTCATTTAATGTGTTCTAGGGATGCACCTTTTTTTTTTTTTTTTACATGGTTCAGAGTCTACAGAGAATTGTAGTTCCTTTGAAGGAACAAAATTATATGAAAATGTATTTTAGTCTGAGTGTCAAGGAGTGATCGTTTTCTCTTAATTCCTTTTTCATTACCTTTCTCACTCAATACCTTCATCTTTTGTTTCTAAACTAGAAAAATAATAAACACAAATTCCCAATTCTGATCTTGTTCTCCTGGCATTCTCTCTCTTTTTTCCATTGAAATGCAACAATTGAACACAATTACTCTCCAATATGCTAATATTTGTTTCTTCTTTCCTCCCTTTTCCTATAAGTCACATGCATAATTCAAAGAATTTGTAGTATAAAATTATCATTACTCGAATATTCTGTTTGGTGAAACTTATTTCACAGGAATGCTTATTTAAGTTTCCTTGTATGTTCTACTGGGTTTTAGATGGGAGAGGTATCAAAATGAGGAGGAAGCTGCTCTTGGTCGAGGGAAACGCTTGAGGAAAGCTGTCTCGTACAGGGAAGCTTATGCTCCGCATCTGAATGAAGCATTGAGTGAGGTACTTTCATTTGCTTCCAAGGAAATAAATATGAAGCTGGTCTATCATGTTGCAACTGAAGATTGGAACAGAAAGGTCTACAGTGTTAATGCATGTCTATGTTATTATATCCGCTCCAAAACTTTGAATTAGCATTCCAAACAAACCAAACTCCTTCCTTTTCCTCTCTCTCTCTCTCTCTCTCTCTCTCTCTCTCTCTCTCTCTCTCAATATTAAATGGTAAGGCATTCATTTTAAATCCCAAAAAAATGGGGAAGGTTTGAAACTATGGAGATTGGTACTGGTAGAATGCTTTTTATATCTATGTTTTTTTGCTTAAGATTGTTATGCTGACCTCTTGCAGTGAGAGTTGAACCTTGGTTACCATTTTGGTCTTTGATGTATATTTCAAGCCAATGTGCATGCTCAGTTCACTTTCATTTCTGTTCCTTCAGTTTATTCTTGTCATCAATCCTATCAACTGTCTTTCTTTCTGCTTCCTTCTCACATTTCTAGTGCATTAAGCCTGAAGCTGCATGGAGTAAGCTTTATTTTACGTTAATGTTTTTGTTTTTAAATAAAAAACTAAGTTTGCTAATGTTTTGTCCTTCCAACTCAACTTCTTTTGATTCGCTTGCTACTTATCTTTTCAATGATTCAGCAGATCTCTCAAAAATGTAACCTTTCTTGTTTTCCTCCAAGCACAATCAATTTGTTGTCATAGTTATTCTCTCTCATCTCTCTCTCTCTCTCTCTCTCTCTCTCTCTCTCTCTCTCTCTCTCTCTCTCTCTCTCTCTCTCTCTCTCTCTCTGATAATAGTTATCCATAGTTTCAATTATATACTTCAACTTTAAATGCAGAGTGGTGGTGAAGAGGACCGGGAGCCAGAAGCGGAGCCCGAGCGAGAATATACACTGGCTGGAAGAGCTCTAAAGGCAAAATAGTAAGTTAAATTTCTTCACCCAAGAAAACCAAAGCTCTCAACAAGAGAATTAAAAAAAAAAAAAAAAAAAAAGAAGAAGAAGAAGAAGAAGAAGAAGAAGAAAGAAAGAAAGAAAGAACAAGAACAAGAAAAAGAAAAGAGAATTCTAACTGCTCTATTGTCAAGGATCAATACGTGGTAGAATTGGACCTTGGGTTACGATTATTATGAGATCTTCCCAATCATAAAAATAAAAGATAGAATAAAATTGTCGGACTTCATATTCTTGGAACATTTGGAAAATGTCATGTTACTTGGATGCACTTAACTAGAAGGAAAATGTGATTTAGACTTAACTATTTGACATCATTGTTTTTTCAATTTACTTTTCTGTGAACAGTGCTAAGCTTCGTGCTAGACAAAAAGAACGCCTTGCTCGGCGGAATGCGATTGAAGTATTTCGTCTTAATGAGGGGCTTCCTGTACCTGAGTTGGTTCCTCAAGTTCCACCCACCAACAAGACAGATGTGGATCAGGCAGTGGAGTTTGCTCAACAAGGTGGTGTGAAGTCTTTTGTAATTGACTTGGAGGATGACGAGTTCAGTCAGCCAGATGCAACAAAGAGCAATGCTGATGCAACCATAAAGTTGGGCCACCTATCTAGTCATAAATTGAGTGGTCATCTGGATCTTTCTATGAACTCTCTTGGACACCCTTCCTTTGACACTATCCTTCCAACTCACCAAAATAAGGGCACAGGCAATACAAACTTGCTTTCTTCCAACAATGTGCTACCAGTTCTGGGACTCTGTGCTCCCAATGCTAATCAATTGGATTTATTGCAAAAAAACTCTTCAAGATTGAAGAGTCGACAAAACAAGCCCGTGCCTGGACCAGAGTTTCCATTTAGTCTGGCTCCTTGCTCTGGAACTTCAATTGAGACAGATATAAAACATCAGGAGACTACATCAGACAAGCCAAAATTGCTAGATGCAGCAGCTGAGGTTTCACAACAGCAGCTTAAAAATAACTTATCAGATGGTTGGCACCAGTTTAGTCCGGTATTTGTTAACTTCTAAACAGAGCTCTGTATGCATGTGATTGCAATGCCCTGTTTCTTTTTTTATTTATTGCAATGCTGTATTTATTTATTTATTATTATTATTATTGCAGTGTCCACCTATATCACAAGTGAAGGATTCTGATCGTTTGGAAGGCTCCAGTTCTAGTTTTGCTGGTTTCCAGGAAAAGATGTCACTGCCAAACTTGCCTTTTGATGAGAAATTGCTGTCCAGATTCCCACTTCCTTCCAAGAGCTTGCCTAGCACACACCATGACTTATTACCGAGCTTGTCACTAGGGAGAAGACTTGAAGCTGTAAATGACTCTATGCGAGACCTTCCAGCGATGCCATTGTTGCCCAATTTGAAATTCCCCCTCAAGATGCCACAAGATATAATCAGTTAGAGAGGGAGGTTCCTCCCACACTGGGTTTGGGTCAGATGCCATCTGCTTTTCCATCATTTCCTGAAAACCATAGAAAGGTGCTTGAGAACATAATGATGAGGACTGGCTCTGGATCAAGTAACTTGTATAGAAAGAAATCAAAAATAGATGTCTGGTCTGAGGATGAACTTGATTTCCTTTGGGTTGGTGTTCGGAGATATGGAAGGGGTAATTGGGACGCCATGCTTAGAGACCCCAGGTTAAAATTCTCGAAGTACAAAACTTCAGAAGATTTAGCAGCTAGGTGGGAGGAGGAACAACTCAAGTTCTTGGATGGGTCTGCTTTCCCATTGCCAAAGACACTGAAGCCAACAAAGTCCTCCAAATCATCCTTGTTCCCAAGCATTCCTGAGGGAATGATGACACGGGCTTTGCATGGAAGCAGACTCGTTACCCCATCAAAGTTTCAGTCACACTTGACAGACATGAAATTGGGTTTTGGTGATCTGTCATCTACCTTGCCACATTTGGAGCCTTTGGATCAATTTAGTTTGCGGAATGAGCATTTTGGCCCGATTCCAACTTGGAATCCAGATGAGTTGCGGGGGAATTTTGTTGGAGATTCTTCAGTGGGACCTTCACATCTTGCCTCTGAAAAACCATTTCTGCTCAACTCTTTCGGCGCAAGCAACATGGCTTCTCTTGGTTTGAATTCCTCAAGTAGCTTTGATTTACAGCGAAGAGAGGAGGAATACGATACCATGAAGTATGGGAAATTACCTAGTCTTCTGGATAGATCATTAAACATATTGCGTGATTCCCATAAGAATGTGGGAATTGGTGAATTAAGCTGTTCAGCATTTTTCTCTGACCCAAATAAAGTGCTGAATTCCTTCAATTCAAAGGGCAAAGAGGTAGTTGGAAGCAGTTCCTCAAACAACAAGCTGCCTCATTGGCTTCGGGAAGCTGTAAGTGCTCCAGTCAAACTGCCTGAACCTGACCTGCCACCCACTGTATCAGCAATAGCTCAATCAGTTCGTGTGCTATATGGAGAAAATCAACCAACTATTCCTCCTTTTGTTGTACCCGGTCCACCTCCCTGCCAGCCAAAGGATCCAAGACAGAATTTGAGGAAGAAAAAGAAGCGGAGGTCACATATGTTCAGGCAGTTCCCACTAGATATTGGGGGAAGTAGCCAGGAATTTAGAAACAGCATCCATGGTAGTAATGTTGCTTCGACCTCTATCCTGCAGGTCCCGCCATTAGTTCCTGAAACTTCGGGCTGCCCATGGAATGAATCTGACCTTAACCTGCCTCTTCCCAGTTTAAACAAGATGAATTCATTGACCTCATCTGCTTATTTAAACGTACAGAAGAAAAGCACCATGGGATTATCCCCCTCTCCTGAAGTTCTTCAATTAGTAGCATCCTGTGTTGCTCCAACCCCACATTTAACCTCTGGTTCTGGTACAACAAGCTCAAGCCTACATGAAAGTAAAATACCCTTGCCAAAGTCTCCTGACCAAGTTGGAATTTCAGATTCACAAGGTGCTTTGGAAGAACCCAAGGATACAGAGAGGTTGCCTCCTCAGGTGCCGTGCATTCCAGAGGAGAGACTGGACCAACCTGATAGTGGTGATTCTAGCAAGACCGAGTCAGATCTTTCTCCAATCAAACAGCCTGATGTAGAGGACATATCGTCTGAGGGCACTGTATCAGATCATCCTGTGAGTGATCACGAACCATAGTTAAGTATCGGATTCAAATATGGAACATTGTTATTCTTTGATGCAGGCTCTCCAGTTAAGTTCTCGAATTTTTGTAGGCATGACTCAATGAGTGATGAACTAGCACATATAGGATCATTTAGGACATCTTGTGTAAAGTTATTGCGAGAGAAAATGAAATATATAGCGTTCCTTGCTGGTATTGCTGATTCTGTCGAACGTGCTTCCAAATCTATGGGGTTTTCCCTCTCCCGTTGAAAAGAATCAGGTTGAAAAGAATCAGGTTAAACTGCGACAATGTAGAAGTAATCATACATCGTTTCTCTCTGTTCTTGCCCTCCATCTCTATCCATCCTTTTAACATTTAAATATAGTATAGCCCTTAAACTTGTAGTTTGGGTTTGGTGAATTGATTTTCAAAGTGATGTTTGGATGAAAAGACGTTTTTGGATGATTTTCAATAGTTTTATAGGGAAGATTTCGAAACTATCAAATGTATTTCCAAAAGCATAAATTTAAGGCATAACTAGAAATTATTTTGAAAAGCACACTTTTAATTTGTGTATTAAAGATTTACCTTTTAAGTGTGCTTTGGCTATGGTAAATAGAAGATCCGGAGTAAAAATATGATCAGAATGTTATTTATATTTTGATCTTGTATTTAGAATAATAAAAATAAAAAATATGTATGAAATTTCTAATTTTTAATATTTGAGTTTAAGACAAATAAAAATATTGTTGATTAAAAATAAATATAACAATTAAGAGAGATGAAACACTATGACAGGACTCATGCGCACTTTTCATTTGCCTTGCTAGAGAATAGAAAGTAAAAAAAAAAAAAAATAGTTTTGTTTTATTAAAAAATTCAAAAAACAAAAACAAATGATAATCAAATGCAACGGATCGTAAGTCTTCTTCAGACATGTTTACTTTCTTTATTTTTTCTTTTTAGGCAAAAAAAAAAAAAAGGCTTTAGAAGGATGCAGTCTTATATTTTTAATGAATGTGCGCAGCTAGCATTAATTACGGAATTTTGTCTCCCCAGATGAACAAGTTCCTATGCATATGCACATCAATATTGTTTATAATTTTGCTTTGGAGATGGTAGCTCACCTTGCACATGTCTACGTACCCAACTCCATCGAATAGAAAATCAAAAAGCTCTCTTTTGGTGTCTACGGCATGGTATTTCCGATGGCCTTTTAATTTCTCCATTTAACTCGTAAGGAACCTGATTTTCAGGCTCTCTATGCAAATCAAAAAACTTGTGGCTCTGTGATAATAATGTCTTGTAAGAAGTAACGGATCCTAATCCTAACATATCTATTACTTCTGTTATGAATTTTGAATGTGTAAATTAAAAAACAAAAAAGAGAAAAAACTGATTTTTAGGCTCTCCATGCACCTATGACTGATCATATACATACTGCTTCGTGTATCATAGCAGTATATATATATTATAGACACACACACAAGAGGAGAAGATTAAGAAGGTGAAATTTTTTTATCATATATTACCAAATTATTTTGGATTAATTATAAAGTAGCCGCTCCTCAATTTCACCATAGCTTTTTTATCTTTTTGTTTTGGTAGCTATAAAGCAAAGAACTTGAACTGAAAACTCTCAAAAGAAGATGAAACACTAATGCTAATTGAATTAACATTCATGGAAAACATTATCATATAGTTTAACAACAACGTGCAGAAGAAACAATGTATAGGTGTACATCCATCAAATTAGCATTGTGGGTGAATAAAGCATAGAAGTAGAAGGAAGCACCCATTCCCCATTTGAAGCTTCTCTCTCTCTCCGGATAAACAATTAACCTTCTCTCTCTCTCTCTCTCTCTCTCTCTCTCTACCTAAAAGACTAAAACACTTCAAGATGTGATCATCCATTAAATGTACGCATGATGCCCATTAGAAGCAACTGAAAAAAACCTAAGATACATTAACTTCCAAAACAAAGAAATTAAAACAAGACAACAAAACTTGGGAGTTAATTAATACTAGTAAATTATTCTAGTGAGAAGTGGCCACTAGCATTCTTAAGGAAGAAGAAGATGTAGTACTACTCCTTGTCCTTGGTGGGTTGGCCACGAACCTTGAAGTGAAAGCACAAAACTGGTAGTAATCTTCATCATCTAACATGCTTCCACACCCACTTGTATCAAAGTTGAGAGAATAACTCGATGGATCATACCGGCACTGGAATGAAGATTGTCTATTTGCAGTGGCAGCGCGTAGCACTCTCCCTCTTTTCTTTAGCTTCTTCAAAAGCTTTGTTAGACACCCACAGAAACAAGTTTGTGTACTGCCAATATTTTCTACCATCTTACTGGTGGTGGCAATGGTATCTACACCACCAGTCTTCCTGTTGTTTTTTGGCCACCAAAGGAGCCACATTTGTGCCATTTGTCTCTGGAGTGGTGGTGTTTATTGTGACTTGAAGTGGGAGAGAGGAGATTTGAGAGTTGGGAGATACACAAATGGGAGGTTGTGACTTGAGAGGTTGAGTTGGAAGAATACTACATATAGGGAGTCATGGGAGGTGTAAACACGCTCCAAGAGGTAGAGTGGGACCCATTTTTTTTCGCAGTGGAAAAAAAAGATATTTAACTTGAAATTTCGAGAACGGCCAAAATTAGAAAGGATTAAATTTTTTTTTATTTCATTGCCCATGTGATTATGTGACTACGAAGTTTTTTTTTTAAAAAAAATCGTCTGTCATTAACCTTTGTTCAGGTGAGGTGATAAGCTGGGAGGTTTTTCTTTTTCAAACTTTCTTTCTTTTAATTTGCAGGCTGCAAGTTCAACATTTGTCTCTGTTCCTTTTTTTATTATTTTCTTTAGAGTTCTAAGTTTATAATTAGGAGTATTGCTTTTTCACCCATATATATATATGTATATGTTTTTCTTTAAAATTGATTTCTCTTACTCTTGTCACAAGATCTCAATCTGTTAGTAAATAAACGATTGACTTGTAAATCAAGACTTATAATGAATATTCTTTAAAAAATTATTTTTAAAATATCCGGTCATACCTTAAAAAACATCATTTAAAAATATTTAGAAAAAAATTAAATCTCGAAACATATGAAAACTAATATAAAAATACTTTTATTGCTGAATCTAAAAAATAAAATTGATCTCTATTACTCATGTCAAAATTAGCTAGAACTCAGAGATTCAAGTTACTGTCAATTTGTTTTTCTGCCATCATTTAAATTTCTTGTCTGAAATTGTAAGCCATAAAATTGGCCATGGAGGTGTTGATAATTTGTGGTCCCATCTCCAGACGCTAATAATTGGTCTGAATAATATTGCGGATAGACCCATTTCTTCCAGCTGGTCATCAAAGTTGGTTGTGTCATAAATATGTAGGCATAGTTAGTAACTTGACCTAAAATTCATCGGAGATACCCAACTTATTTGTTGGGATAGATAGGATCATAGGAAGAGAGGCAACAACATTTCCCCAGCTACTGCATCGTTCTGTGGACATGAAACGTTGGTCGTTAGGAATGGCAATAGGCCATCCCCGCCTCTGTTCCATGCGAAGTAATATTTTTCATATTATCCATGTCCCAAACAATGATGGAGATCCTGTCGGTAACCTCATTTAATTTTTTGTTTTTGTTGCGTTTCATCTCATTTTATTATCAAATTTCAAAATACAATTAAAAAATAATAATTTATATAAAAAATAAATTTTAAGAATCAATAATTATATACTTTATATAAAGTATAATTATAATTTCAGTTATAGTGAGAAAAACAAAACGGTATGAATAAATATCATTTCTATCATATTTTCATTCAAAATAAATACAAAACGAGATGTCTCGTTATGTTTTTCAATCAATTCGAGGAATTTTTACATTGATTGAGATGAGGCAAAGCTTCATCGAAACTAGGCAAATTACCATTCCTATTGATCGTCAATGTTTTATAGATCATATATAGTAGTACTTCTTAAACAAGAAACAAGGGTAGGGGAAGAGGGGACCAGGCAGGGGGATTGTTGTTGATTAGGCGATGAATCAGTCAGATTCGCAGCTTCCCATTGCATCAATTGTACAGTTCTGACTGGAAAGAAAAATCATTGTACTGTTGACAGTGTTAATTACACTGTCTTGTTCTTTTATCAATTATTGTTATTTTGAATAATATTGCTGTTTAACTTCAATAAATAATCAATTAGTTAAATGAGAGATTAATTGATCATGACTTATGTCTTGTATACGTGTCAGACTGAATGATGAGATGAGCATTTTTCAACAAACCAATTTAATGCTCATATATAATTTCAAGAAATTAATAATTTGTTTCCTAATATATCAATCATATTAAGCGAAAAAAAAATAGTTATAATTAGTCAAAATAAACAATATTACTGTATGGAAAAATTGTGTGAGTAATAATTCGATCAGCTTTAGGAATTATTTGATTTGAGACTCGATAGCCTTTAAATCTTCTTTATAGTTAGTTTAATGGGCACGATGAAGATGATCATTAATTAATATTTAATGGGTATTGGGTTTAATTAAACCGGCATTTGGGGGTAGAAATAGGGACATGATCGTAATAAAATAAAATGAATAATCATAGTAAGTATTGTTCAGTGCCAAGAAACAGAAAATAATTTGACTAAAAAAATGAACTGAAATGAACGACCTCAATCGGTGTATAACCAGTTTTAAATTCCAATCATGATGTTAATTAAGATATTGTTTGATTATCAAGACTAAAGCGGTGAGAATAAAAATGAAGGATTTGATTGAAAAAAATGAAAATTAAAATTAAACTTAATCTTATCCTCACGTGAGAGGTAGGAATAAAATTAAAAAATCAAAATAATTTTTTTTGTCAAAATAATAATACATTATTTTTATTTATTATGTATTGATTACTTCTACCATCACGATCATCATTTTTATTAGGGATGTTGATAAAAGAATATTATTATAATTATTTCATCTACTACTACAGTATCTTCATTGGCAGTTGTGATGATTTTTTTTTAAAAAAAGCTATTATTATTATTGTCGCTACACGACATCGGACAGGACTCTCCAAAGAAATTAAATCTAAGTGTTAATTATTTACAAAATTTATTTACAGAATTTTGGAGTCGTTATCTAATATTTAAGGAATTAGGAACCTAAAAGTAGCACTCGGTTAAGCGATTCCTAAAGTAATGAGTTGATTACACTTTTATGAAGATATTTAATCGCCTAAGAATGCCCTTTTCAAAAAAGATATCATGTATGGTTTAGTTCTAAAATCGTCTCCTAAAAATCCATATCAAACTATCTTCTTCTTCTATTATTATTATTATTATTATTAGGGATGTTGATAAAAGAATATTATCATAATTATTTCATCTACCACTACAGTATCTTAATTGGCAGTTGTGATGATTTTTTTTTGAAAAAAAGATATTATTATTATTATTATTATTTTGTCATTACTCCTCTATGATCATCATCATTTTTATTATACCACTATATCAACTCTTCTTCTATTATAATCTTCTATTGTGATGGTATCAATTTTTTTTTAATATATTATTATTATTATTACCAACATCTTTCTCATCTTTTTTCTACTTTACCGCTATCACAGATCACCTTTATTATTTTTATTATCATTATATTTGATGAAATTATTTTTTTATTCATTTTAAAAATAAAATTTTAAAAATTTTAAATTTTATTTTGATTTTTATTACTATTCTAAAAAAATATATGAAAATATAAATATCATTCCGATTATCTAATTTTCATTCCATTCTTATATTTTTATTTTTAACTTTTCACTTCGATAATCAAACGATGTTTAACTATCAATCTCAAAATAAGTTTTTATGTAGAAAATTTAAGAGAGAATATATATATATATATTGAATTAACAATAAACATGAGAAAAAAATTGTTATTTTTTATATAAAAATATAAAAAGCTTAATTTATTTCTAATCATGTTAGAAGATGATAGTCTCACTTATAATATTAGAATGCTTGTGGTAATGAGTACTTTTTTAAAATTGTTATATAGACAACGTAAAGCTAACAGGTGCCAATTTTTTTCAATTAAAAATCCTTTCACTAGAAAAGTCTATATATATTTTGAGGGGTTTTAATCGGTAAAAATTTGTTGTTGTTTTTTTTTTTTTTTTTTTGTGATGGTACTTCATTATAATTTTATATATAATATATTTTGCACAACTTCATTTATAAATCAATATATAACTTGGTGGTGGTCTCTAATTAACATGACCTCTCTACTTCAAGTAATGTTTTACTGTTTAAATTATTATTATTGCTACAGTTTATCAGTTCAGATCTTGACACGATAGATTGGAATTTGATCGGATCAACTCGTTATTTGATTCAATGGCAACTCTAATCCAAATTAGACCCTGGGTCATTAATTTTTTAGTCAATTCGTCGGACCGATTTGGATTTGACAATTATAATTTTACCAGAAGTCCAAGCCTTTTTTTTTTTTTCCCTCGCTAAGCTTTAAGAAGTTTGTTTGTTGAGTAAATTCAAAACAAATTAAATAGATCTTTTATTTTTAAAAACTGATCAATTAGTATCATTCATACATTTCATGTCATTTTTCAATTTATTTTTGTTAAGAAATAGAAAAAGGTAAAAAAAAAAAATATTGCGAAAAGATTAATAAAAAATATATATTTTTAAAAACTAATTAATATTAAATTAGTCATGGCAATACTGGTAAAAAAAAACTAATTAATTAGTTTTTAAATTAGAGAGACTATTCAATTTATTTAGCAAAACTAGAGGGGCTAGTTTATCATTTACTTTTGTTTTGAGTAAATTATATTAACCCCTTTATTTTTTAGAAATGAATTAATTAGTTTTTTTTTTTTGTTTCAAAACTTATTATTCAATCACTTGAATAGTGTTAACCATGCGTTATTTAATATTGCTTTAATTATTTGAAAATATCATTTGTTTTCATCAATACTTCCATATTTTTATTTATTTATTAAAACAAAAAATCAAAATAAATTGAAAAAGAACGAAAAAGATTAATTTATAAGAAAAATTAAAAGTAAGAGCTAAATAATTTGTTTTGAAAAAAAAAATTAATTTCGTTTATCAAAACTAGACCAAGTAATTTATAATTTACGCTTTTGTTTGTTACGTAAATGTTTCCATTTTGCGAAAAAGAAAAAGAAGAAGAAGAAGAATAGCAATAATTGAAGGAGCACTTTTCGTGCAATTAGGTACAAAAATAATGGTAGTGTAGAAAGAGGACAGTAGGAATGGATGATAAGAGTCGCCATAAGTCAAAATGAGTAAAGGGTCCTGTGTCTTGCATAGCAGACAAAAGGATGGAGCCTGTGTTGATGCATCACATGGATGCCAGAGAAAGAAAGCA